TAATGTGACCTGAGAAAGAAACAGCAAAATAAATGCATGCAAAATATTAGAAAAAAATCTTAAGTATTATAAACTTATAATAATCATATTCGCAATTAGTTTTTTCACACTTATGTATATGAGTAAAAATCACTTATTTCAAAAATAGAAATAAACTGTAAACAAACACTAGTGTGGTAGTGGGCAAATTGAGAACTGGCTCAGATCAATGGAAAGTAACTTGTGAGGTGTTTATGTCGGGTAGTGCACCTATCCTAAACTTACCTCCGATTTGCTCGGACAACTCGGGAGTAGTCCAGGGTTCTAGCTGAGTCTCCGTCGCTTGCTAACCGCCTCTCGATCTTCGTAGACGTTTTCTTCGTCGTCCTACACGCACACGATACTATGGTTGTATGTCAGCACAACGACGCACTGACCAAGAATATATCGGCACTAAATACGATGCTTCTATGCGTACTAAAATACGTGACCAGCTTCTAGGTCTAACAAAAGGTATCGCTTCTCGAATAAAAAATAAAAATATAACTCTCCTAGTGAAATAAAAGGCCGCCCCACGCAATAATAAAATAACGAAATGAAATGAGTCAGCGCTAATATGCCAATAAACTTCTTGGCTTTGAAATATAACTAAATAAAATACTTTTAGATAAAATAAAATAACCTCCGATAAATAAACTAAAAAGTGTGGGCTACTGTGGCACCGCACACGCAGTGCCGGCCCGAGAAATACAATACGCTAATCACCTACAACTAAGATGATAGTAAATAAGGTTAACTTTTACTCGCCAAAGTAAAACGGGAAAATAAGATTATTATTAACGTAATGATAGACCGCTGTACTTACGTCTGACGATACTTCTCTCGATCTATTATTTTGTCGCTTTTATGTATTTGATCTTAGGAGGGTGTTCGGCGAACAAGCGCTCGCCGTAGCATTGACTATAAGGATTCATAGCCAATGGCCGTAGACTCAGACTGACTGGCAGCTAGTCTGGCTTAATTGAGGAACGTGAGACTACACTGCCGGCTCCCAAGCTTCGGCGTTTAGAGCCGAGTAGTCACGATGATATCCGACCTTTTCCGATTAGTCTGAACTCTGAAGCGGGAATTTGACTTAGGTTAGGTTATGTTTAGGTTTTAGCGGGAACAAGTGAGCAGAGCACTGGGCTAAATTAAGTGTGTTTAATTGATTTATTTTATTTTATTTATTTAACTTAGCACCCAAATTAAATGCGTTTGCTATGTAAATAATCTTACTTTAGGCTTTTGATGATATTCAATTGTTTCTGAAGGCATTAACATGTTCTTTGTAAATATTTTAGTAGTTAAATAATTATTTGTAGTAATTGTACATATCACACTAATGTGGAGATTGTCCTGTTTCCAAGGTTAGTACACATCTGATTTCTTACAATGGGTAGTTTTATTTAATAATCATACAAATTTCTCTATGATTAATGACTAGTTTTATTTAATAATCATACAAATTTCTCTATGATTAATGACTAAATGGAGACAAATAACTTAAGAATAAACTATAAATGTTCAGCCTACAGTTCCTCTTTTCTTACTGCCAAAACTTTCAGGCCAAGTAAAATGAGCATATGACAGCTTAACTTAATTGCTACAGGATAATTTGTTAGCACAAACTTTCCCAACATTTTAGTTTAGGTATTTTTATTTTACACGGCGGCAATGCATTTTACATTACAATAATAAAATTCAGTTATGATTAATAAATCATTAATTAATTCTTTTACCTGGAAAGTATTAATGACAAAAGGGATTGACTACCGACCAAAAACAAACGGCCGTAGAACGATTGGCACACATTATTAGCCGATTAGGAATAGCACGACTGGCACAATCATTAGGGGGGATTAAGAAGGGACAACCTGTAAGGTTCGGAAAGGCACGATTGGCACAACACCCCAGTAAGGAACTAGCAGCCAGGTAGCCAGAATGCGGGTACATAAATGGAAATTGTTTTGTCCCCACAAATTCCCTGCTGTCGTGCTTATTGGAATAAGCAAGGTTTACGTTTGCGCGACAAATCTGCAGCTACGGTCACTGCGTTAGCTGGATCCAAATAAACCTACACTAACCTAACCTAACCTAACTTAACCTAACCTAGCCTAACGTAACTTAACCTAACTTAACCTCACCTAACCTAACTTAACCTTTGAAAATACGCGATATTACTGGCAAATGACTGTAGTAGAAGAGTTGAGGGGGAATTTTAAACTTACCGTTTTCCCTCGTTCGATGGCGTCTACCTGGTCGAGCGGTTGTGCCAATCGTGCCTTTTCCAAGCAGGCGAGTTGACCCTACTTATTCCGCTCAAATGATTGTGCCAATACTGCCATGGGCAGAAAATCCAAAAATGTGTGCCAATCGTCCCGTTCCCAAACAAACAAACACAATGAATACAAAAAAGTCAGGACCCTTTCCCAGGTCTAGGGGCACAATGGGTTTTAGGTTTGTTAGGGGCTCAATGAAGAGAAAAATTCTCCCACAGGTAGGTAAATAGGGACGCAGTATCTCAAACACATAGCACATCATATGCAAACTGTGGTCTGAAAATATTTCCTGGTTGTCCGTACATTTGTCATGCATAATTACCTTCACATAACTGTTCAATACTGTTCAATGAAATGACGACCATACAAAGTAGGTATTTTAAGCCAAGTATGAATGGAGATGAGTGTAGGATGAGTGGTGCGATCTTGTAGTCTTGTTATAGTAACTAAGGACTTACAACCTATCTTTTTTGACAAAAAGAAGCAGTAGTAAGTTAACGTTACAACTATAAGTAGTAAGTGGTAAAATATTTAATATTAAAAAAAAATTTTGTAGGTGCTTTGTTTTTGTTTTTGATAGTCAATCCATTTTGTAAATCTATTTTTATTCAAACGAGCTCGCGAACAAGCATGATCGAATCATGGGAACAGGGTTATACGGGGAGTTTTATGGGGTAAAAATAGGTTTTTTTTTCATTTTCGACCTTCAAAAAATAAAATTTCCCAATTTCTCTCTTGACCATTTTTAAGAGCTCAAAAGAACAAATAAATTAGTATATTAAAGTGTTTTGTATGGTCATTTTGTTACAAAAAAATTCAAAAAATTGCAAAATAAAAAATTGTCAGGTTATTCTTATGGAGAATAAGTAAACTGTTGTAGTTTGTTTGCAATATTTTGATCAAACTTGGCAAATCTATTTATTTTATACTCAGCTATTAATTTTTTTTACTAAAAAACACCCTGAATACCCTCCCTGTAGCAGCAAACCCAGGTACTCATTAAACCTAATGTTATGGAAATAGATTAACTTCATTGTAGGTGTTAGCCTCCGGATTGCCAAATAATAATTAAAAAGTTCAAATACCTGCTATTAAGTAATCCAATAGATTAAATTGAAATTCAAATCATGCAAATGGGAATTCGCTTAATAGCAGGTTACTTGTTTGCTTTACTTTTTAACATGGCTCAACTATTTCTTGACAGGATAGTAAAATTTTTGTAATCCTTTGATAATATTTGCCATGAATGATCATTTTTCCGGTTTTGGTTCTTTCAGATGAATCCTGACTTGTCACTTGTAAAATGCCAATACTGCAGCAAAAGTTTTAGTAAGAAGAGTAATTGTAATCGGCATTTGAGAAATGTGCATAAAATAAACTTGAGTTGTGAGCCAATTACAGTTAAAGTTAAAGATCAACCTAAAAAGAAGTCCGTCACTTGTGTACTCTGTGATAAAACTTTTGCAACTAAACAATGTCTAGACCGTCACATGAATGTAATTCATTTTTTTAATGTAAAGAGATTTAAGTGTTCTACGTGCACATTCGAAACACACCATCAAAGAAACTTGACCCGGCATGCCCTTACTTGTAAGAAAGGGGAAGAAAGACTTCATCGCTACAAGTGTTCAAAATGTCATTCAAAATTCAAAAGAGAACGCAATTTTGAAACCCATATAAAGAGATGTAATAATAACAAACTGCGTCCCCCAATCAGAAAAATAACAAAAAGAAAATGTCCCTTGTGTCCTTATACCTCTTTAGAGAAAAAAGTAGACGATATTTACAGCCACTTTTCAAAAGCTCATGATATAATAATACAGAAAACCAAACATACGTTTGAAAATATTGATGACTTCTATCAGTGGAAAAATAAAATTGAAAAAGAGTCAACCACTTTCTACAGAAAAAGGCTTGCAAATAAATCATTAACATACTATCAGTGTCACAGATGTGGGTACCACAAATCAAATGGCCACCCTAAACGCCACATGAAAATAACAGGATCATCTAAAATAAATGCATATTGCCCTGCGACCATAAAATTGAACAGGAAGAAAAATCAAGTAGTAGCATACCATATTTCGACTCATGTTGGCCACAGAAATGAGCTGAAACACAAAAGAATCTCGAAAGAAGAAAGACAATCGATCGCTTTAAAACTAGCTCTTAAGGTCCCTTCTGATCAAATTTTAAAAGATGTAAGAAATTCATTAACAAACTTTGAATTGCAAAGAATTCATTTGCTCAACAAAAAGGACATCCAAAACATTGAACAAAGTTTCAACCTTGGGGATGAGGCTATAAAGCATCCATTTGATCCGGTCAGTGTGCAAGCCTGGGTTGAATCAATGAAACAATCAGATAACACTTCACTCATTTATTATAAACCGCAAGGGATCAAAGATGAATGTGAGCCCAGTTTGGAAATTGATGATTTCATTCTTATTTTCATGACCAAATCTCAGGAGGAGATGTTTAAACGATTTGGAAATGATGTTATATGTATGGACGGCACTCATGGTACCAACAGCTATGGCTTCCAGTTGTACATCATGTTGGTAATGGATGAAAGCAGGGAAGGGTTTCCTGTTTCTTTCTTAATAAGTAATAGGGGGGAAATTAAGACGTTCACATTGTTCATAAGGAAAAATAAAAGAAGAGATTGGCCCCATAGCTGCCAATTTTTTTATGTCAGACATGGAGGACAGCTTTTACAAGGCTTGGGTGACAGTCATGGGCCCTGATGTGGAACAGCTGTACTGTTCATGGCACGTTCTAAAATCGTGGAAGCTGAACACAAGGAAAAAAATTAAAAATAAAGAAACACAAGCACTTACCTTCAAAATTCTCCAGGGCCTGTTATATGAATTGGACAAAGAAACATTCCATCAACTGTTGGACAAAGCAATAGAAAAACTAAAAAACGACTCTGAAACAATTGGATTTGTGGAATACTTCGTAGATCAATATGTAAGGCATGAAAAGTTTAAGAGGTGGGCATACTGCTACCGACTTAATAGTGGTATAAATACTAATATGAGTATAGAAAACTTGAACAAACTTCTCAAGTATTGTTATCTGAATGGGAAAAAGACTAAACGCCTAGACAAGACTCTGTGTGCACTTTTAAATTTATTGAGAGATAAACTCTTTGACCTTATTATTAAAAACCAAAAAGGCAAAGTAGTCAAGAAATTGCAGAACTTAAGGAATAGGCATAAAGACAGCCATGCCCTGAGTTATCTTCAGGCAGTTATAAGATGTCTTCTCGCTTCATTCGAAGGTCGTCAAATCGATAATAAATAAACAAAACACAAACACGTACACGGACATAAAAAAGAACATTTTTACAGCTTTAAATGTTCTTTTTTATGTCCGTATACGTGTTTGTGTTTTGTTTATTTATTATCCATTTGACGACCTTCGAATGAAGCGAGAAGACATCTTATAACTGCCTGAAGATGACTCCAATGTGAGTTGAAACCGGTAGCAACTCAGCTACAACACAAGATCGCATAAATGCACGTATTTTACACCAATTTATTGAGCGGAGCGAGCGAAGCGAGCGTAGCTCTTTGGGATCAACTTCAATGCAACAAATAAAGCAACATCACTCAATAACGGCAGAACACATTTCAGCTAAACTTAACAAGATCACTTAGACTAATAGTGAGATGGTTAATAAACACACAAATTTCAATTAGATAATGCTAATGCAATTTAAAACGAACTTAGAATTTTCAAATTTTAACATTAGGCTTATGGGACTAAAGTAGCCATATGACAGTTTTTTGTTTACAAGAAAAATGTAAACAAGAGAACCATAAGGTATTTCTGAACTTTATAGACTTTTCTTTTAGACGTTTTTAAACCATTCCTATGATTTCAATAAACAAGAAAATGCCGTTAAAACATTTTTTTAAGGCACGGAATTCACTGAAAATCGAGAAAATATACGGAACTACTTTCTCAATGCAAGGAGCGGAGGGATACGGACCAGTGACTACTTTCTTGGGAACCTATTTGTGCTGCCAGCTGATTAGAAACAGCCTAGAAATCAGGATTTAATAAGCGATATTTTGAACCGAATCGAAATCGATATTTAATCCGATAATACATCACAGGTTATATTATGTTGAATTACGTAGACGGTGCAGTAAGTTATTACACTTATCTAATTTAGGCATGTGGGGAAGGTAGGTCGGGGTTTATGAGTATTCGTGACTTCATTAAGTGTTTTGAAATAAGGTAAGATTAGGGAGGTAAAGTGTAGGTTATAGGTAGGTGATCGAGTTGTTTATTTGTGTTGCACCAAATAAACTGATAATATTTTCCTGGCCAAAACTACCATAATGCACTTTTGGAAGAGGTATCTGAATAACAAGATGTAGTAAAAACAAATCTGAATTATTATAATTTTAATCAATAAAACCAGCATCTATTGATTTTTTTTTTACATTTAGTTACTTAGGCCTACAAATATCAAATCACGTTTGTTCCGCTCAACTGGCTTTCACCTCTCTGAAAGCAACCCTAGTAATAATTAATGTTGAGGAAAGTGGGCTTTTAAATAAATAATATATTAAATAAATATGTTGAGAGTATAAATACTTGTAAGATTTAAAACGAAAAACGTGGGGTGCATGCAATGGATAATTTACAAGTACCTTCACCTGTTGAACTAATGTATTATTATCAATTAATTGCATGCACCCGACGTTATAAAGGAGTATACATAACTTAAAAGAATACCTAATTGGAGATAATTGTTCAGTATATTGCCTACATCATAAAGTGATTCTTGTTCTCAAACAGTATAAAATACTATAGGTAATTGTTTTGTTTCAGAACCTACTACCAGTAATGAAGGTTAAAGAGTTGTTCTCTTGTTCCTCTATATCAGAAGCCCTGGTTATTTCACCTTATTTTTTGCTTTATAATAATTGTAGTAGCAACAAAAACAGCTGTATATATAAATATTATGTTCACAGTTTTAGGCTGATTAAGGGGGATTATTTATTAATTCATGTATTGTATATAAGTATATTGTATATATAAGCAAATAAGTTTTGTCATATAGTTGTTTCAGTCCTCAAATGTTGTAAGAACTCTTTTCATTGTATTCATTGCATTTAATTTTTTATTTAATTGTATTCTATTCTGTTGATAAAATCTTGTTCTTTTTTATTTGCAATGTCGAAGGTCATCACAATGTGGGGGTCATCAAACAAAACATTTTTACTATTTCTTTCTCAGTCATTTGACAAAGCAATATTTTGTAATATCCCATGAGGAAAATAAAGAATTTATAATCAGTATGTCACAGTACTGGGGGCTAAAATTAATGGTAATTACATTTATAAAGGTGACATCATAAATATTCTATAAGAAACTGGGCTGAACTGCCCAAAAACCTTTTTTCACATGAGATTATAGTAATATAATGATATGTTCACAATGTATATGTTCCATATGTTCCATATGTATAATACATTTTGATTTGTTCTTTATTTAGTCAAATTATTTTCTATTTTTAGTCCTAAGACGTGTATATTAAACAAATATATAAAGGGAAATAAGAACCACCCAGACGGTCCGTCCTTAAGACCACTTTTTTCAAAGATACAAAGTGGATTTCTGTGGAGTGAAATACTGGAGTAAAATTAAAAGAGAACATCAACTTGAACTTATATTTTTGTATTTTGTTGTAAAATTTAACGAACTGTACGCACTTTTACTACTCTATTATATTAATACTGAGTGTTAAACACATTATCATTACTGTGTTACACATTATCAAATCCACAATTAATTATTCAAGGAAACCAGCGTATGGATGATATGTAAATTTTGTTAACGTGTATGGTTTTCATTCAAACTAATTATATCACTTTTTTTAAAAGCTAATATTAAAAATTCAGTTTTTCTCAAATAAGCCAATCACATAAAACTATCAACTAAGACACTAGGCCTATTATTTACAAATCTGTGTGTATTACCACGTACACTTTGTTTGCATTAAAACATGTGGTTATGTTCTTAAAAACCCCACAAGATTCATATACTAAGTTAACTAGAGGACCATGCTGCTCCGCAGCGAGCGTTGAAATAAATATCATGTACCCTACATACATTGTTGTCTTAGTTCGTTCCCGGTCGTACTGGTTTGTGGACTCATTTGTAAATGTATTTGACATGTTTTAACCAAAATTACACTAGCTTAACTTAAATAAAATCAAATGGTTTTTACTCAAGCTTAAGTTATCGTTCTAATGGGTTTAAAAATAGACTTGAACAAATGGTGCTTTATGGGGGAAAAATTAGTCGTGGGTCCAAGTCTTACCAAAATACCCTGGGGGTTAAGAATTAAGTTACGTTTATATTCCATGTAGGATTATACTGTTATTTTGACTTGAGAAATTGTTGTCTTTTTACATTTGAGTTAATATTAGCCTAAGTTTACAAAAATATGAAGACCTAAGACCTTTCTGATAACGATCTAGAAAGTGTATGAATTTATATGAAGTTGATTGAAGAGTTTTTGCTTGTATTCAAAAATATATATAATATATTTAGGCTAGTTGCAGTCCATGGATAAATTTTTGTATGGTCATTGTAGAAATTTAAATTAGGCCTATATGATGTTTAAGTTATTGTTCCTTCGTTAGCGTTGCTAAACATAGATTAAGTTAGGCCTAGAACTACTAGCCTATAAATAAATGTAAAATGTATTACCGTATAAGATAAATTGTTATAAGTTAATGATATAAAGAGAAACATAATAGGCCTAGTTAGTTTCAATACCATATTGTAATTCACCTAATGCTAATAAGTTTAAAGGGATAAAATGTAATTAAATTCCATTATAAATAACGTTGAAACAAACCGATGAAGGGCAGTAAAAAAGGCGATTTATTTGATCTTAAAATGGAGATGAAGAAAGGTAATCATTTATTATACTGATATACCTATCATGAGGTATAGCCTAAAACAGTTTTAGGCTTGTTGCAAGATTCCATAATGTTGAACAAAACAAAACAAGGCACCTTTAATCAATCACTAAGAACAAACAATATACTGTAAACATAAACATAACCTCAATTTATAGAATTGATTTGTTGAGTTCACTCTACTACCATTCGCGGTCGCGGAACGAACGACGGACGGAGCCGGCAGTGTAGTCTCCAGTTTCTCAACATTTTGCCAGACTAGCCGCTAGTCTCAGACTGCCCCAAGAAATGTCCACTGTCCGCTGGTCTCGGCTTCTCCCCACCACGTCTACGTCAGCGCCCCGAAGTCGCGGCGGCCAAGGCACGAACTAAGAGGCATGACCAGCAGTGGACATGTCTAACATTGTTGTCAAGCGCGCTCAAGCCTTCGCGGCCTTTAAATAATTAAAACGAACCCCCCAATAAAATGTGACCATTACAAACTTTAGACGAAGAAGAAATCAGCTGATCAAAACGAAGAAAAAAGGAACACCCCTCACTCTAAATTAGGGGTTAGGAAACAACAACGTTCTTTTACATCAACTATTATCAAAAATAGCTACTCTCTGTACGGAGTAATAAAAAGTATTTAACACAGAACCCGACACGTTCACTTTGAAACTATCTAATCAAAACAAAGAATCGAACCAGTATAAAACTGGTGTAGGCCAGTTATAATTTCATCGCCGCGCAGTGTATACAACGACGGTGAGCTCGAGAAATCACCTTTTATCAGTACGTATGTGTCCTCTATATCGGTCACGTTAAAATATGTTATTGTTTATTGTGATTGTCCTCGTAGGGTCCAAAACCTCATTGTGTGTTTCTAAAAGGTTAGTACGATTAAAAGCAAATTTTATGTTACACGGAGTTTTTAGTTTTCTTCTTTAAACTGGCGTTTCGTTTCAACAAAATAGTTTTAATCACTGAGGGTTGTATTATTGATGGGATAAAGGGTAAGGAATGTCAACCCAAAACTTTAAAGAAAAAGATCAAGTGAGTATTATATAAATAAGTTTAGGAAACATAAGCTAACCGGTTAATTCATTTTATTTGCGGGCTATGATGAAAGTTTTCCAACATCTCTTTAGTCGAATGATTTTTTTTTTCAAACGTTTTACCTTTCTCAACTCACCTTTACCTCACCTTTTGTACGTGAGAATGAAACATTCGTTTACTGAAACATAACCAAATTAAGCTAATTAAAAGTTGGTCCGTATATTACTTCGTTGTGTGTCGATTGATTGAATGTAAGGTATATTGGTATTAACTTAGCCAGTAATCCGGTAATATCTTAAACATATACATATTTTGTACATGTACAAAAATACATGTTGTACATGTACAAATTTTTAGTAAACAAAACTCAGAAATAGATATTTTTAAGGAATTAAATCTCTATAAAAATCTGGCACCTAAACTTTTCCTCAACTTTCAGACAAACTTGACATTGGAACTACACACAGCCTGATAGATCACGGTCGTTGTCAATACTATTGAGTAGAACGGCTGATCAAATAGTAGGGTTGCAAACAAATACATTTATAGACGCAGTTGTTCATTTTACTAAGGGGTCTAAGCGTGTTTTATCCATGTAAATCTAACTAATATTTTCATTTCATTTGAGTGTGTCATGTTCGTCCTGGTACGATGACCCGGCAGCCCAGGTCATTCAAGACGTGTTGTCTACTCTAGTGGAAGGTGACTGTACACTTGCCTGTCCCCTGGACTACCCACCACCCTACCATCCCATAGATGGTGACTACTTTGATTTCATCGTCGTGGGTGCCGGGTCTGCAGGGAGTGTGGTCGCCAACCGACTGTCCGAGGTGATTGTTGTAAAGTAGAACGAAGAACAACTGTTATAGTGGTACTGTTAGTATTGTTTTATTTTATTCTTATCGATGCTCAGTAAGTACAGTTCCATGGACTACAGGAAATTTACTTGATTGAAAGAATAATAAACAGTTTCATTTGAATAACGTGTCTTCAATTTGTTATTCAAAGAGAGTTATTTGTTATAATGTAGGAATTGGATAAAATATATTTATTTTTTACACAAATAGAAACTAAAATCGATATTGTGAGTCCGATTTGTAGATATAATAAATAATTTAATGGAATTTAATGCCGTTTTAAATCAAGTGAATAAATCATAAATATAATTTGGTAATTGGATACTAATACTTGAATATGCTGGACCAGAAAACAAGAAAGATCTAGAGAATGAATCATTAAACGTTAAAATATGTTTATCTTTCATGTTAGCTCATATTTTTTTCTATACTTTGATTCTTGTGTCCAAGCTTGCCTCTGAAAAATACTTTTAATAATTAGCTCAACTGTTATTGAAAAAGCTGTATCAATGTAAGTTGGCCAATTGTATGATTTAATTTCAAAAACATACTTAGTAACACAATACAACAAAAACAAATTATTATACGTGAGTAAGATAAGTCCCTTTGGCTATTTTCTGACATATTTTAGTTATCTTATCGGGAAAAATCACGAAATCTAAACCCAAACAAATGTTGTGGTGATCAAGATTTGTATGTGACGTTTGTAATCATGAAATAAATTAGAAATAACTAAAACCCCTTGGCATTTATAGGTAACCGGGTGGAGAGTGCTGTTAATAGAGGCTGGAGGATATCCTACGAAGACTTCAGAAATCCCAAGCTACGCAGATCAACTTCAACTGTCTGACATAGATTGGCAATACAAGACTAGCCCTGAGGAGCCAAACTGTTTAGCATGCGAAGGTAGAAGGTGCAACTGGCCAAGAGGAAAAGTATTAGGAGGATCCAGCACGATTAATGGAATGCAATACATGAGAGGAAATCCAAGAGATTATGACAGTTGGGGAGCTGATGGTTGTGTTGGTTGGGGATACAAGGATGTTTTGCCATACTTCAAGAAGTCTGAAGACATAAGATCACCTGAAGTGCTCGCAACCCCTGATGTATTGAATTATCATGGCTTTGGAGGGGAGTTGAAAATAGAAGATTTCTTTACTACTTATGAAAACCCAGTAGCAAACGTGTTTGCTGCAGGGATGGCTGAACTTGGCCACTATATCAACTTAGATGCGAACGGAAGATTTCAGTCTGGGTTTAATAAATTCCAGGGAACATTAGAGAATGGTAGGAGATGTAGCACGGCCAAGGCCTTTTTGTCACCAATATCTGAAAGAGAAAATTTCAAATTGGCGACAAACCTATTGGCTTCTAAGGTACTTATAGATGAAGCAAGCAAAACAGCTTACGGTGTCGATGCTATAGACATTACAGGTAGACTAGTTAGAGTCTATGCTAGGAAGGAAGTAATTGTGTCTGCAGGAACTATCAATACTCCTCAATTGCTTATGTTGTCAGGCATAGGCCCAGGAAGACATTTGAGCAGTTTTGGAATAAATGTGGTATCAGATTTGCCAGTCGGATTAAATCTTCAAGATCATTCTTTCGGACAAGGTATTTTATTAACATTCGACTATATAAAACCTTCAGCAAACGAAACGCTTCAAGAAGATATGTTGAAATTTCTTCTAAATAAAAGAAGTAGATTGTCTACTATTGGATTAGATTCATTCAATGCATACATCAATACTGAAAACCCTTCAATAGACTATCCAGACTTTCAAATTTTACTTACTGACTTTGCCAAAAACGACTCATTACGTGTGATAAAATATATGGAAAACGCTGGTTTTGTTGATGGTGTTATACGTCAATATTTAGACATCAATGCTCATTCATACATGATACTCTTTAGGACTTCTCATTTGAAACCCTACAGCAGAGGAAGAATCGAGCTGCAAAGCAAAGATCCACGGGTACATCCAAAACTTATAGCAGGCTATTTTACTGACCCTAGAGATGTTGATGCTTACATAAGAGCAATCGAGCTATATTACAACTTGGTAAACACAGAACCATTTATGAGAATCGGTGCTAAGCTGCATGAAATCAAGATACCAGCTTGTATGCAGTTTCCTTTCTTATCTCGTGATTATAGGGATTGTTTCTTGAGACATTTAACGACGACTCAGTACCACCAGGTGGGAACGTGTAGGATGGGAGACCCTAATCGTCCAGAGACAGTCGTAGACCCTAAACTGAGGGTCAAAGGAGTTAGGGGTCTCAGGGTCATTGATGCATCTATCATGCCTACAGTCACCAGAGGTAACACGAATGCTCCTACAATCATGATTGGAGAGAAAGGAGCCGACCTGGTCAAGGAAACTTGGCTCCACCATAGGACAAGAGCACACTATAACAAACTAAACCAGTTTATAAATATACTCGGAACGTAATTTTAAATATAGTTGTGGTACATTATAGTTGTTGATACGAAATTTGTTTAATATATATTTTTTACTTTTGTATATTTGCACAACAATGAAGATTATTATTTTAATTCCATTAATAAATCAGTTACAACTTTTCTAAGAATATTTGTTTAGATGTGTGTAAACTATAATTTTGACTAAAAAACTAAACTAAATACATTTTATTTTCGTGGTGGAATGCTGTTATACACACCAATAGTAATTTGAGTTGAACCTTATGTTGTATGAGTATAAAGTAAAATCTAGCAGTTCTACAACTCGTTGTGAAAAGTTTTCAAAACAACGGTGACGTGGTGTTTGCTACCAGTGTTTACCTGTTGATAGTACAGTTGGTCTAGACCCATACAAGTAGCAAAGCTTTGTAATGCTTGGTTATGAATGGTTACAAGTTAACTAGCATTAGTTGCTCGCATATAAACAAACGCTTTTCTTACACACATATTTTTTAGTTTAATATGATTCTCTGCAGTTTTATTTAATCAAATATTGTAATAAAATAAAATAAAATCATTACAATTTAAACAAGTAAATATGAATAGTACAAATGTAATCAATGTGGTTTTTATTTTATTGATATTAATATCAATATTACTTCCCAATGCTTTAGGTACCTCAAAACATGAACTTCAACAGATTATATCCTGAATGAGTGGACAACTACTCTCATTTAAGTTAGTTGAATTCCTGATCAACGTCGTGTAAAGTTTTAGTTAGTTCATATTTTTCATTCTCTCAGAAAACACTGGAAACCATTCAATTTGTATATTTAAATATCTTGCAATAAGATTAAGATCAAATAATTTTCTGTATTCACAATATTGGTGATAATCTCCTTAACAAGTTGCCTACCAGTTGTCACGCTCCTCTGAATTGTATGCCTTGTTTAAGGGGGTGATTTAAGTGTTGTTTAAACATGGGCTTGCTCATTTATTTGAAATAAATTAACAAACATTCAAATGTCCAGTTTTGTGCGATATTTGACGTATTAATTTCTAAGGTTTACTACACATGCTGTCAACCAGTTAAAATAACTTGTTATAGAAAGATTTAACCAGCAAAGTGCAACGGAATTGTTTGTTTTTTAAGCTGTGTACGTCTTGGTAACCGTTATCGTGGATATTTATACCACACTACACCAACTGATTTTTAAATTTTAATGTTAACTATTGTATTTCAGCAAACAAGGTTGTTTATCACTTTGGGGCACCTTTATTTATTTTGTTAGAAGGTTTTGAAACCGAGAAGTATTTTTTCTTTTTACGTTTGAAGACAACTTCCGTTGCAGGTACAGACAAAAGGAGACTTAAAGAGTATTTTTTTTTCAATGTTGACGGTTTTGGAACTCGGAAAGACAATCCAATAATCAAAGTATGAAATTCTGGAGAGACTGTTTCCCCTTACATTGGTTTGAATTTTCATAAGGTCCTCTGATAATATCACTGTTAGTTTGTTTTTTATGCAGTCTACAGTACTATACAAAAGCTTTAAAAGTGTGATATAAGATTTTTTTCGTAATGTTATTTAAATGTGGAATGAATATGTCTTGTTTATAGAAATAATTTATTAAAAGTCCAATCAGACAAATTTAAACTCGCTATGCAGGTTTGCTGCATGTAATTCATAGAAGTCCACTATTTTAGGAATCTGACATTGATACAACATATTCAAGTGTAACAAAAGTTTACAATCATTACGTCATACAAATTTATTTATTTATTTTTAGAACACTTCAATGTACTTTAGAACGCAGACAAAGTTACATTTAGAGACGATCGAAGAATCAGCTCTACCCAAGGAACGAAGTTAAACTTAATGAACCGAATAATATGAGATAACTCCCAGACGTTGGGCTCGAAGAACGACGTAAGACCCTTTTCAAAGCTAATCTTTATTTAATCTTTACTTAGGATTACTATACTCAATTGTATTTATTTAATACACCAACCCTATAAATATAAATGTAGGACTGTCATTAATAACAATATAATACTGTCATCTTAACTTATGTAATGGTTCAAATGCAGTATTTTTTCTGATGATAAACTGTTTATAAGCCAATTCAATTGCTAAAAAAATTGGTTAATTTTGTTCAGCACTTATTAATATACACATTACCAACATAAAGGGCACAATAATTCATTTATTTATGAGCACATATCTAAATATGTGATCATAAATAAATGAATTATTGTGCCCTTTATGTAATGTATGCGTTATGTATGCCTTACTAATAAGGGAGTTTACATCAATGCCAGTTCTGAAGTAGTCTGACTCAGACCCATTCAAATTTATATTGGAATTATATGGAATATCAATACCCAGACATAAAATATTCAAAACTGGGTTGCCAAACAAAACAGAGAATAATAGCTGCGATTTTGGCCTGCTATATAACGACTTCTAATGGACTAGTAGAGAAGGTTGTCTTTGCATTTTAATATTATATACAAATTGTCATAAAAATATAAAATAGTGAAACAAGGTACAGGCTGAGGTACCATTCTCATAATTACAATTACATTTTATATTTATTTAATCATAAACTATTTCAGTGTTTTTTTTTACCTGTTATGATACTTATTTAAACGCTAGTGGTGATGGAGAGTTAGCTGCACGATAATTATACGTTTTATTGGTAACGAGTCACTATTGGATGGATCCATGAACAAATCACAATATATAGAGCGTATTAAGACTTAGGGACCATGTTACAAGCAAGAAATATCTCCAGGTTTTCGGATTTTCAGTTAGAAATTCGTAAAATAAATTATACATGTCTGTTTCCTTTTAATGTTATATTTGTTTGACAGTAAGCAGTTTAGACAGAGTTGCCACGTGATGAGAGTAGAATAGTTAACTAGTATGTTAAAAGCTGTTGAGCTCTTTAATAAATCATATTGAGTGATTTATTTTTACTAGAAATTACACAAAGATGTCAAAATTTTACTATCTTAAGTATAAAAAGGCCAATAGCCTACTGTACTAAAGTGATAAAATTTAATTTTAAAGCGCATAAGAAGAAATATATTCTAGCAATATATTATTTTATTTTATTTTTATTTTTTTGCTTGTCATTAATAACAGGCTGGGTATACTGTACACTACAATTAAACATTTTGTTCACACTTAAACACTATTATTTTTTTACTATTATCTAACCTTGGACCGAGTGACATGACTGGATAGTTACTATAATATGACATCCTGTTTTACCATTTAGTAGTTCATAATCATCCCCACTTCATAATGCAGTTTGTAATGCATTGCAGTTATTCACTATGGGTACGCTTTTAGGGTATGTACTATACATCAGGGCTATTAAACCTTACGTATAAATTATGTTTTGTTCTTGCACAATACCCAGGACGGACATTAGAGGTCTGCTAATGATTTAGATGCAGTTAACTGAATTGATCGTCCTAAGGTCAGTTAAATGTGTAAACACCAGCATGTTGTTGAGAAAACCGATTTGGATATTGAATGAATAAAAGCCATATGCATATTTTATCGTTTAAGTATTCGTCTGTATATATGTCATATGTATTTACCATTTCATTGTAGATATTCTTTATAACAGATAAACACACAGAATCTTTTAACTAGGCAATCTATGAAGGCATAGTACAATCAAATGTCTCGTAATATGACTGCGTATACATGGTATAAAATACCACATCATTCATATACCAAACTATCATGAAAAGCTGCGAAAATTGTTTTACATATGCATAGGAGCTTCGGCCTCTTGGGGTTTTAAAATTTGCATCTTAAGAATGTGCAAATTTTTTATTGGTTTTTTTTTTCACGGAAACAGTTAGAAAAACACATTTTTAACCAAATTAAATACACTTTTGTAGGGATTTCAATTCAATATTTCATCTAAAAAAAAAATATTTCAAAGAAAGCTTTGAAATACAGTAGAACTAAACTTATTCGCAGTCTGCAGTAATAATATGTTTACTGAATGGTCAAAATATTTTACTACATTACCTTTACACTCCCATTTTAAGGTTACTACTCGGCCTAAGACTTCTAACTGCAAATTGGTTTTTGGGAAAACCCTCTAGAATGTTATCAATGCTGAGATGATTGCTTTCGTACGAAAATGATTCCGAAATATCTACTTGACTGGATAAAAAGTCGTAATTGCGTAACTAAGTTAGATTATAAAGAAGTGCAATTGTTGTAATTTTAAAATACATTACACAAATTGGACTGCTTTACCACTACGAAACACATTTTATATACGATTTTCTGCAGACTATATTTTTTATCATAAAACTTATACGTTAGAAATGTTGACAGGGACTAAAGTTGACTTCGAAAAAAAATGTGTATTTAAATTTATAAAACCATTACGATTCAAGTAAACGTTTAATATAAAGCCAGAAGGTTGGTAATACATTAAACATACATAAAATATAACACTTATTCTATCTTATTTTCTAACAAAAATACAGGCTAAACATAAGTGATTCAGTTTATTAGTTTAATTTAAAACATGGAATCGATTCTGAAGCATTTCACCTTCGCCACTTGTGCCATAAAGGTTATATTGTCTAATCATTTTAAAATTTAAATAATTTAACTTAAAACAATAAGTTTTTAAGTTTAATATGCAACACACTGAAAATAATAAAACAATTAAAATACATTCAGAACTAAATTTTTGAAACAAAAGTGTTCAAGTTAATGCAGTTAGTTACTGGTTGCAGAAACCGTTTTCAATATGAAAATGTGTATTTTAAGATATTGTAATTACGGAAATTCAAAACTAATTCCAACAAAGACAATCCTGATTGTGTAAGGGAAATTGTTTAGGTATATCTTGAAGAGCTTCTTAAATTGAAATCAAGAATGGCAGTTGCGCTACATTCTACTTACTGAATAATTAGCATGTAAGAATATGTTTACGTACCAAGATCTATTGTTATTTATCTAACATCTAGCACTATTTTTTTTTTACTCAACATCCACAAGATAGACCTTATTTATTGAACATGTGATTTTACGCCCAGTGCCTGAATTGAGAACTGATTAAGAAGATAACGTATTGATGTAGTCTAATCAATGCATTTCATTTTGACAACGGGATCATATTTTCTTTCAGCTCGTTTATGGACCTCGTCCAACTCGATGAAATATAAGAGGTTACAAATCAACGTTTCTGCGGCGTCTACAACGTACGAGATATTCTTGTTGGTGCGACTTGCGTGTTGTAACAATGCTACATATTATTATTCTACGAAAAGATTTACTCATTATTTCGTATAAACTCTTTATGGAAACAAATTTTCCAAGATGTAATTTTGAGATTGATAACGGCAGTTGTTTATATTTTTTGCCTTAAAAATTATATGAAGAATCACGACATTTACTCACATCCTTGTTATATTAAATAGTTCTTAATATAGGCCTATATGAAATATAAATATCATATTAATGTTAAACGATATACCAGCTA